AGTCCCTATCTTTCAGGGCTGTGCTCCCTCCCAGTGCACAAACGCTGACATTTCTGCCGTGGTTGCTACGGCTGCCCCGACCACTGAGACCACAGCTGTGGCCTTTCCGCAGCAGCGACAACGTAGGGGCCGTCGCGGCCCCAAGGGAGGGCGTGGTGGTGGCGCTGGTGGTGGTAGTGGTGGTGGCGGGGATAGTGGTTCGGACAAGGGGGTTGGGGCTAGTGTCTAGGAGCAGCAGCAGACGCAGCAGCAGTAATCGCCACAGCAGCTGCCGCAATCGCCGCAGCACCCACAGCAGTAGCAGCAATCGTGGGCCCGCCTCCCGCCGGGGTGGCCAGGAGCCCCAGGAGGTGGTGGCCGCGGTGGCGGCCGCCACAGCTCGGCATCTACCGGCGGATTCGGTGCTGTGAGCTGCCAGTACCAGCTCCAGACCGGGCCCCTTTGTGGCACTGTGTGCCGCCGCCAGCACCCGACCACCCACTGCTTCCGCCGCCTCGACGGCCTCTTTCGTCGCCGCTTCGGCCCGGCCCCGGACCTCCCTGACTGGCCCAGTCTGCTCCGTCACGGTGTGCCTACGTTTGACTTAGACATGGATCAGATTAGTGCTTGCTGACGCTTCTAGTGTGTCCGGATCTTATTACCCTGTGTTCTCTAGTTTAGGCGTAGCACCTGTGTGTAGTACAGACTCCCCTGTTGCGTCATGCGTAGGACCGTTTGCTTTGTCTAGCATAGGCTCTAACCTTGCTCCTCCCTTGTCTGCAACTACTTCTTTGCTATCCTTCATGCTCGACTCTGGTGCGTCTGCCTGCTTCTTCCATGACCACGCCACCCTCATGTTGCTCGCTACCCCTGCCTCTGTCGCCCTTGCGGACCCTTCTTCTGGTCCTGTCGTTGCTCGCAGCTCCACTACCCTCCCCTGTCCAGCGGCCCCCTCGGGTTCCCTTACACGCCTGCACATCCCCTCGTTCTCCAAGAACTTAGTTGGTGTCGGTTGTCTTCAGGACCCTCGGTGTCACCACTACGTTCCCTGGTCACGAGCAGTACGCTGTCTGTACCGAGGCCGCCTCAGGTGGCCCCCTTGCGACGTTCCCCCGAGGCCCGGTGTCTGGCCTGTTTACGCTGGACACTGCTTCCCCCCCGGTGGGCGCGTCCTCCCCGGGTCCTGCGTCTACCCAGGTCGCTGCGGCCTGCTCGTGTCGGTCGCTCACTAACCCGTCGCTTCTGTGGCACCACCGCCTAGGTCACCCCGCACTCCCGCGTCTGCGTCACGTGTCTCAGCATGGTCTAGTCCTCGGTCTCCTTGCATCGCTTCCTGCCCTCCCTCCCTCACCTTCGCCCCCGTGCACGCCTTGCGTCAAGGGCCTGCTGCGCCATGCTCCTCACTCCTCCTCGCTTCGCCCTGCCACCGCACCCTTCCAGACCCTGCACCTGGACGTCTGGGGCCCAGCCCTCGTCCCTGGACCGCGTCGCGAGCGCTACTTTCTCGTGCTCTTCGACGACTTCACGCGCTACACCATGGTGTTTCCCCTGGAGCGGAAGGCCGACGTGCCGAACAATCTTATCCCATAGGTCGTAGCTGCGCGCGTCCACCGCGGTCTCCCCATGCTGTGTCTCCTCTCCGACCGTGGTGGCGAGTTTGCCTCCGGTCGCCTTGGCTAGTTCTGTCGTGCGGAGGGCATCACCCATTTGTACACCCTGCTGGACTCCCCGCGGTAGAATGGGGTCGCTGAGCGACGCTTTGGTTTGGTCATGGAGGTGGCTCGTACCTCCATGATCCATGCCGGTGCACCCCATTTTCTGTGGCGTTCGCTGTTCGCTATGCCGCTCACCAGCTTATCATGTGACCGCACTCTTAGCGGCCACAGGTTTCGCTAACCCTTATTTGGGCTGGGTTCCCTGGTGACGCATCCGCGTTCCACGTTTGGGGCTGCCTCACTCACGTTCGTGCCTCTGGCACGGACAAGCTCATTGCCCGCACTGTCCCCTGTGTCTTCCTCGGGTTCCCCCTTGACTCGTCTGACTGGCACTTCTACCACTCGCTGTCTCACCGCTTCTTTTACTCCCGTTACACCATTTTCGACGAGTCTGTCTCCTTTTACCACCGCTTTCCCCACCGAGGTCTCTCGGTTTCCCCTCCCCTGTTTCTGGTCCCCACTCACCCGATCGCCCCTACTCCCCTTTCTCCCCGTCCTGCTCCGTCTCGTGTGTCTTACGTCACTCCTCTCCCGTTGGTTGTCCCGGTCGAGGAGTCGGTTGACTCTGGTGGCCCCGCGACGCCGTTCTCGCCGCCTGCCTCCCCCCCAGTGTCTCCTCCTCCGCCGTCGCAGTAGCCGCCGCAGTCGCCACCGTAGCAGCAGCCGCAGTCGTTGCCGCAGCCGCAGCCGCAGAAGCTGCCACCACCGCAGTAGCAGCAACCGTTCGTGGACTCTGGGGGTGCTGGCGTTGAGGAGGGTGCTAGTCCTGGGGTTCGTGTCGTGGCTTGTCCCGGCGGGCCTGGGGGTGGCACCGGTGGTAGAGAGAGTTCTTGCTCTTGGGGTGCCTGTTCTCGAGGTGCTGGAGTGGAGTGTTCTGGAGGTAACCGTGGTGCAGCTGGTGGTCTAGGTGTCGGCGTCGAGCAGCAGCAGCAGCAGTCGCCGCAGGTGTCCGCCCTTCGCCTTCTCGGCCTTCCCTCCCCTGACCGCTCGCCTACGCCTCCCCCGCCGCCTCCTCCTCTTCCTGTCTACGGCCTAGTGTTCCCTCCGCCGGACTCATCTCCGGCGCGTCTTCCCCTTCGTTCCCCTCATGTGTCTCCTCCTTTGTCCCCTGACCCGGCGCCTCCCTCTCACGTCTGGTATCGCCGTCCATATTGTGCTCGTCCTGCCTCTCCTGTTCAGTGTTCTCACTCTATGTTGCTTCGTTTCCACGCGTCTCGTCCTCCCCTCCTGCCTTTGCCTCCTCCATCGTCGCTCGCTATCGCGCCTCCCCTTCTGTCTGACTACCTTCGTGCCACTCGTCCTCTTGTTTCTCGGGTCCTTGCCTCCCTCGTTACCGACCCGTCTGTCCCTGTTTCGAGTCTTGATGCTCTTGTCGCCGCCATCGCTGATTTTGCCTCTATCCGCCGCCTTGACTACGCCACCGCTCTGGTCTCTAACCCTGTCTGTCCTCCGTCTATCGAGGGTGCGTCTGCCCTTGGCAGTGCATCCTAGAGGACAGACAGTGCAAGCTTGCTTTCTTGTCTGAGGCTACTCCCCATCTCTATTCCATGCCGTTAATCCCTGATGGTGACCAAGAAGCCTTTGACATCTCGACCCCTCGCACTTACGCTGAGGCGACCTCGGGACCCTGGGCCTCTCAGTGGATAGCTGCCATGGAGCAGGAGATGGCATCTTGGAGATTCACCGGCACCTACATCGACGCAGTTCCCCCACCTGGGGTGAACGTAGTCGATGGCAGGTGGCACTTCAAGGTGAAGCGCCCTCCTGGAGAGCCGCCTGTGTTCAAGGCGCGCTACGTTGGTAGAGGCTTCAATCAGCGCGAGGGGGTGGACTTCTTTCAAACCTTCGCCCCGACCCCGAAGATGACTACTCTTCGGGCGCTGCTACACGTAGCATCACAGCGTGAATACGAGTTACTCTCCCTTGACTTCTCCACAGCGTTTCCCCAGGGAAATCTACACGAGCAGGTCTACCTACGCCGAACGCAGGTCTTCACCGGTACCTTCCCTCCTAGGACCCAGTGGTTCCTCCGGCGCCTGGTCTACGGCATGCGACAGGCGCCCTGTGAGTGGCACGACACGTTGCGTGCTACGCTAGCTGACCTGCAGTTCTTTCCGTCCTCTGCAGACCCCTCGCTCTTCGTTCGTACTGGCCAGACTCCGTTCTACATCCTTGTCTACGTAGACCACATGGTCTTCGCTACTGCAGACAGAGACGCACTGGCCTCCGTGAAGGCCGAGCTGCTGAAGAGACACATCTGCACTGACCTAGGAGAGCTGCGTCGCTACCTTGGCTTGCAAATCTCCTGGGACAGAAGAGCGCGCACCATCACTCTCACACAGTCACACTTGGTGCGCCAGGTCCTTCAGAGGTACAGTCTTCAGTTCTCCTCCGCACAGCCCACACCTCTGCTAGCAGATCGCAGGCTTTCTGCTCCAGTTCCTGAGGAGTCAGTAGAGCTCAGTGGTCCTTATCAGAACTGGTGGGTTGCCTCATGTACGTGATGACTTGCACTCGTCCAGATCTCGCATACCCTCTCAGCATCGTGACTCGCTTTGTGGCCACAGGCAGACACCGACCACAACACTCGTCGGCCGCTAAGAGGGTTTTGCGTTATCTAGCAAGTACATCGGGCATGGGGTTGCTGGGAGGATGCAGGCTAGTAGTCCTTACTGGGCACACAGACGCTTCTTGGGCAGACGACGCTGAGACCCTCAGGTCCTTTCAGGGCTACTGCTTTAGCCTTGGTTCGAGTGCCATCTCGTGGAGGTCCACTCGCTCCTCGTCTGTTGCCCAGTCTAGCTGTGAGGTTGAGATCTACGCCAGTGCCATGGCGGCACAGGAGCTCCGCTGGCTGACCTTCTTGCTCACCGACTTAGGGGAGCAGCCTAGCTCTGCCCCGGTTCTGTACGCTGACAACATGGCCATGATCCTCCTGTGTCAGGAGCCTCGACTTGAGGGTAGAGCGAAGCACATCCAGCTGCGGTACTTCCTCCTGCGCGAGCTACAGCAGCGTTGCCAGGCCCGCGTAGTAAACTTGGCCTCCGGTGCCAACACAGCTGATATCTTTACTAAAGCGCTTGCGCCTAGAGATCATCAGCGACAATGTTTGCAGCTTGGTCTAGTTCCTTTACTCTCACTTGCTAGGACCTTGATTGTGTACTCCTCTTTATATATATCTTTCAGACTGGCCTTGTGGCTTCTCTTCCAGTGGCCGGAGTAGTAGTGCCGCCCTGGTTTGCTTTTGTCTTGTTTGTACTCTTGCTCACTGGTCTTCGGACCCCTGCCTCAGAGGTTGGACTTGTAGTGCCACCCTGAGCTGTGTGCTTCTTGCTCAGCACTACCCCTTATCTAGCCTAGGGGGTGTGTCAACATATACATACTGTACATTTGCATGTAAAGTACAACCCAAACCCTATATCTTTCTTGTTCTCTCTTCTTTCTAACTATTCTAGTATTCTAACCTAGGCAACATCCAAGTGCAACCCAACATCAACATTACGGCTCACACATCTCCCCCCCTTGCAACTTCCCCCTCTCCACCTCCCTCTTCCCCACCTCCCCCCTCCTCAACTTCCCCTCCCCAGCTTCCCCCTCCCCAGCTTCCCCCTCCCCAACTTCCCCCTCCCCAACTTCCCCCTCCCCAACTTCCCTTTCCCCAACTTCTTCCTCCTCAACTTCCTCCTCTGTGAGTAACGCAATGTCGAAGTAAAGGATGAAAGGAGCCCGAGAACAGGGGAAGAGGCAGAGGGAAAGTTGGTGAGAGGTGGAAACAGAACAATATGGAGAGAACAGGATGGAATGAGGTATGCGCGGAACTGGCAAAAGCAACATATAAGCTGCATGCGACTTCGCGGCTGCGCAGTCTTGTGTTAAGTACCTGAATCTGTGGAGCCTGTATCTTCGCGCCTGTTTCCTGTCGCTTTTCTGTTCCCCTGCATGAACCTGTTGAAGGTAGGAAAAATACTTAATCTATGCATGGATACAAAGCATTTAAACACAAGTGCTTTCAGTTAAGGAGAAGAAAAAGGCTGACATCAGAATGGTTGGAGCACTTAGTAAAGCATTCATTCTAGTGCTCTAATCACTTACCCACCTCAAACTGCCTCCCCTCCATTCATCCTATTCAGCTAAGAAGTTCTCACCCCCTGCAGCGCCTCACTTACCCGCCTGGGAGCATCGCCAGCTCTGGTGGCCCTGTGAATATATCATCGTCCGAGTCAACACGAATAGCACGTAGCTCTTCATCGTACTCGTCCACTTTTCTCTGCAGCTCCTCCTTCTTGTTTTTTTCAGCAGCAGCTGTCCTCAGCGCCTCCCCCAGCTGCGCCTTGAGCTCTGCAACATCTGCCCGCCCTCTTTCCACCGCCTTCTTATTGGCCTCCTGCTGCCACTCGAGATTCTGTACGGGGTGATTCGGACATTGGACAGGCGGATTAGAATGTCACAGGTGGAAACGAATGCGAGAGGGGGGAGATGATGTCAGAGGCAGATAGGAAGAAGTGCAAGGAGAACCGCATAGTAATGCAAAGTGTTTGAACGTCTAGAATGCACACGTGTGTCTCACCTCCCGTGCATCTTCCCTTACAACCATTATACCCATACCTCGACAGTTTTAGCTGCTCCTTCCAAGAGAGGAAGAAAAGATGACGCCATAGGGAAATCGTGCCACTTAACAACTTACCTCCACAACACCATGCCAACAAAGCTCTAACTTCAACACCCAATCACGACCTAGTACTCGCCTGCAGCATCCGAGCAAAGGACTCTTGCAGCCTTGTTCGCTCAGATTCCCAAGCATTTTTCTCGGCAGCGTGATTGGTTGTTAACTGGTGAAGCAATTGTAATGTGTTCGCCACCGCCTCTTCTGCCCGCGCCCTTGATTCATCCAGCAATGACTTCTCATGCTGCAACTTAGATGCCTGGTGAAAGGAGGAAAAGGAAGGGAGAATGCCATTTCACATGAACGAAAGAAAATAGCATACTCTCGCATAAATCACATAGCGTTTTAGTTGGTCATACTTACAAATGGCCTTCCTACCTCATTAGCAGCATGATTGGCTCTTTCCTCTGCCTCAGCCCGCAGTCTCAGAGCATCATTCAGCTCCCTCTCACGTTCCGTCACAGTTGATGCCAATGCACTCTTCTGAGCCACCACCTCATCCCTCAGTCGCCGCTGGAATGGGAAAGGGTTTGTGGGGCGAAGAGGAAAATACGGGCAGAGCTATTACGGGAGCACGTATTTGAAGTGCCGTGGACAGCTGCTGTAATGGTCATGCATTGCGAACACACGCTCACGCAGCGTAAAGATGACCAAGCCTCACCACCTGTCGCCCAAGTCCCACAATCTGTCCCCCAAGTCTCACCACCTGTCGCCTCACCTCCTCCTCCACCGTCTTCTCAAGCGACTGTGCATGCTGCCTGGCAGCCTCTGCCTTCGCCTCCAACTGCACACGCTCCATGCGCAACTCCTCCGCAGCCGTGCTGCAAGCGGCACACAACCATTCAGCATGCATCCAAGGACATACGATACACACGCATGAGCGCACACACGCACGAATTGATACACGAATGACTTGCAACAGACACACAAACGAAGCCAACAATACAGATGAGTGCTGCACATGTAACGCATGCCATGATGACGTTGGTCATAGCAACCACGTGCTTGACATCACTGGTGCTCCTTGCCTAGATGTCTAACAACCAGTGACAAGCAGCCCTTTCTGTATGTGAACACTGCGATTCCAAAGGCCTACCGTGCCTGCTGAAGCTCCTCCGAGTGCTGCGTACGATCCCTTCGCAAATTCTGCAGCTCCTCCTCCTATGCAGGGTCCAGGCGGTGCACGTGCATTCATGGAGAAGGGGATGGGTTAGAAATAGGCAAACAAGCATGCCCATTCGTAACGTGGAGAGCTTTACGGGAAATGAAAGGGACATGAAAAAGGAGCAGCGGTGAAACAAAGAGAGGTGAGAACAATGGAGCAAGAGGGAAACATGTTACCGGGGGTTGGAGGGAGAGAGATGAGGGGAGAAATGCGGTGCAAAGGGAGAACACTTGCCCATGCAACACCAGCAGCCAAATTCTCTTTCAGCACAGCTGCTCAGCACAACAACAGCAGTGGTCGCACCCGTAACCTGCAAAGCCCAGCGTTGACACCACCTTTCCTCCTACTAGTGCACCAACAGCAATTGCAGCACCCCTTACCTCTAAAGCCCAGCACTGAGACCATAGTAGTGATGGCGCCTGCTCCTAGGGTTTCTCCTACCACTAACCATCACCGCAAACACCAATATCAATAGCAACACCCCTCACCTGGAAGCATGGAAATCTCAGCAGACTCACACCGCAGTGAGGGCGGCTGCTCCAGAGTTCCTGCTACCAAATAACCACTGCACACAGCACCCAGCACCTGCAATATTACCGTTGATGACGGGTCCTCCTCCTTCCTGCTCAGCCTGCCAGGCCCTGTCTCCTCTGCCATCAACACTGGCCTCTTACCTCTCACAACACTCACCAACAGCGGCAGCAGCAGCCCACTAGAGACATGAGCACGGAGGCTGGCTTGGCCTAGCAGCTCAGCTCGTCTCGTAGACGAAAGAAGCCCACCTCAATTCGCCCGCAGAGGTAAAAACGTTAAAGGATGGGAGTTTGTTGAGTCAGTGCTCATCTCACCTGAGTAGCCGCACGAGCAGCCTCTTCAGTTACGGCAGCCAGCCTCGTTCTGGCATCCTCCAACTCCATCTGATGCTGTGTCAAAGATGCAGCCAATCCACTACTACGTGCCTGGACTGCATCTTTCTCCCGCCGCTGGAGTGGAAAAGACAAAGCAAACGAGGGAAATGGCAAAGAAAGGGTTCAAGGAGTGTTTTAGTGCTGATGCATGCTATGGCCATTCCAGCTGCCTAAAAGTATGAAAGAAAGTGTGGAACACTGAATAATCATGCACCACAGATAAGTCAACACAGCAGTTTTAGCAGCCAGACCAAGCATGTCAGCAGTCATGCCCAAGCCTCTCATCCCTCTCGACTCACCGTCTCCTCCAGTTTCTTCTCTAAACCCTGCGCGTCCTTACTGATACGTTGTGCCTCTGCGCGGGCCTCTTCTGCCTCCTTGCTGCGGATGTACAACCACACATAACATGCCCATGCATTCAACATGCAGCCCCACACACACGCACACACACACACACACACACACACACACACACACACACACACACACACACACACACACACACACACACACCCACACACACACACACACACACACACACACACACACACACACACTCACACATACGACACGTTTGCATGCTGTCACGCAGCCAGCCATGCAGTGACATGCACATGAATATGACGCCAAAACACATCCAGCAATGCACATGGTATGCTCATGATACACATGACTAGCAGTGATAGTAGCTTGGGGGTTGTGCAACCTTGACTTGAGAGAGCTCCTTGGCAGACAATGTCAAACCATAAGATAGGGTCAATCACAAGCATATCTATTCGCACCTACAGCCTCACCATAGTGTTTCCTCAGCCTACCTCGCAACATCAACTGCCTGCTGACACTGACAGCAATCCGCCCGCGTCTTTTCACATTTCTCCTGCTTTCATGCATCCATTGTGGTAGCAAGCGGGGTGGATTAATAACGAAAGAAAGTGGATTAGCCAACAGATTTGCACAGGCAAATAGGCAAAAGGGATGGGTAGGCATGGAAAAAGCAGTCACCCACCCAGCGCCCAGCCATTGTTCGTGACCACCTCAGCACATCATAGCACATCACCCATCACCCCTCAGCACATCATCCCATCACCCCTCAGCACATCATCCCATCACCCCTCATCACATCATCCCATCACCCCTCAGCACATCATCCCATCACCCCTCATCACATCATCCCATCACCCTCATCACATCATCCCATCACCCCTCATCACATCATCCCATCACCCCTTACACATCATCCCATCACCCCTCATCACATCATCCCATCACCCCTCACACATCATCCCATCACCCCTCAGCACATCATCCCATCACCCCTCAGCACATCATCCCATCACCCCTCATCACATCATCCCATCACCCCTCATCACATCATCCCATCACCCCTCATCACATCATCCCATCACCCCTCAGCACATCATCCCATCACCCCTCAGCACATCATCCCATCACCCCTCAGCACATCATCCCATCACCCCTCAGCACATCATCCCATCACCCCCACACATCATCCCATCACCCCTCATCACATCATCCATCACCCCTCATCACATCATCCCATCACCCCTCAGCACATCATCCCATCACCCCTCAGCACATCATCCCATCACCCCTCAGCACATCATCCCATCACCCCTCAGCACATCATCCATCACCCCTCAGCACATCATCCCATCACCCCTCCACTCATCCATCACCCCTCATCACATCATCCATCCCCTCAGCACATCATCCCATCACCCCTCAGCACATCATCCCATCACCCCTCAGCACATCATCCCATCACCCATCACCCCTCAGCACATCATCCCATCACCCCTCAGCACATCATCCCATCACCCCTCAGCACATCATCCCATCACCCCTCAGCACATCATCCCATCACCCCTCATCACATCATCCCATCACCCCTCAACATCATCCCATCACCCCTCACACATCATCCCATCACCCCTCATCACATCATCCCATCACCCCTCACACATCATCCCATCACCCCTCATCACATCATTCCATCCACCCCTCAGCACATCATCCCATCACCCTCATCACATCATCCCCATCACCCCTCATCACATCATCCCATCACCCCTCAGCACATCATCCCATCACCCCTCAGCACATCATCCCATCACCCCTCAGCACATCATCCCATCACCCCTCATCACATCATCCCATCACCCCTCATCACATCATCCCATCACCCCTCAGCACATCATCCCATCACCCCTCAGCACATCATCCCATCACCCCTCAGCACATCATCCCATCACCCCTCAGCACATCATCCCATCACCCCTCAGCACATCATCCCATCACCCCTCATCACATCATCCCATCACCCCTCATCACATCATCCCATCACCCCTCAGCACATCATCCCATCACCCCTCAGCACATCATCCCATCACCCCTCAGCACATCATCCCATCACCCCTCAGCACATCATCCCATCACCCCTCAGCACATCATCCCATCACCCCTCATCACATCATCCCATCACCCCTCAGCAAATCATCCCATCACCCCTCATCACATCATCCCATCACCCCTCATCACATCATCCCATCACCCCTCAGCACATCATCCCATCACCCCTCATCACATCATCCCATCACACCTCAGCAGATCATCCCATCACCCCTCAGCACATCATCCCATCACCCCTCATCACATCATCCCATCACCCCTCATCACATCATCCCATCACCCCTCAGCACATCATCCCATCACCCCTCATCACATCATCCCATCACCCCTCATCACATCATCCCATCACCCCTCAGCACATCATCCCATCACCCCTCAGCACATCATCCCATCACCCCTCAGCACATCATCCCATCACCCCTCATCACATCATCCCATCACCCCTCATCACATCATCCCATCAACCCTCAGCACATCATCCCATCACCCCTCAGCACATCATCCCATCACCCCTCAGCACATCATCCCATCACCCCTCAGCACATCATCCCATCACCCCTCAGCACATCATCCCATCACCCCTCAGCACATCATCCCATCACCCCTCATCACATCATCCCATCACCCCTCAGCACATCATCCCATCACCCCTCATCACATCATCCCATCACCCCTCATCACATCATCCCATCACCCCTCAGCACATCATCCCATCACCCCTCATCACATCATCCCATCACACCTCAGCACATCATCCCATCACCCCTCAACACATCATCCCATCACCCCTCATCACATCATCCCATCACCCCTCATCACATCATCCCATCACCCCTCAGCACATCATCCCATCACCCCTCATCACATCATCCCATCACCCCTCATCACATCATCCCATCACCCCTCAGCACATCATCCCATCACCCCTCAGCACATCATCCCATCACCCTCAGCACATCATCCCATCACCCCTCATCACATCATCCCATCACCCCTCATCACATCATCCCATCACCCCTCAGCACATCATCCCATCACCCCTCAGCACATCATCCCATCACCCCTCAGCACATCATCCCATCACCCCTCAGCACATCATCCCATCACCCCTCAGCACATCATCCCATCACCCCTCAGCACATCATCCCATCACCCCTCCAGCACATCATCCCATCACCCCTCATCACATCATCCCATCACCCCTCAGCACATCATCCCATCACCCCTCATCACATCATCCCATCACCCCTCATCACATCATCCCATCACCCCTCAGCACATCATCCCATCACCCCTCATCACATCATCCCATCACCCCTCAGCACATCATCCCATCACCCCTCAGCACATCATCCCATCACCCCTCAGCACATCATCCCATCACCCCTCATCACATCATCCCATCACCCCTCAGCACATCATCCCATCACCCCTCAGCACATCATCCCATCACCCCTCATCACATCATCCCATCACCCCTCAGCACATCATCCCATCACCCCTCAGCACATCATCCCATCACCCCTCATCACATCATCCCATCACCCCTCATCACATCATCCCATCACCCCTCAGCACATCATCCCATCACCCCTCAGCACATCATCCCATCACCCCTCAGCACATCATCCCATCACCCCTCAGCACATCATCCCATCACCCCTCAGCACATCATCCCATCACCCCTCATCACATCATCCATCACCCCTCAGCACATCATCCCATCACCCCTCAGCACATCATCCCATCACCCCTCAGCACATCATCCCATCACCCCTCAGCACATCATCCCATCACCCCTCAGCACATCATCCCATCACCCCTCAGCACATCATCCCATCACCCCTCAGCACATCATCCCATCACCCTCATCACATCATCCCATCACCCCTCATCACATCATCCCATCACCCCTCATCACATCATCCCATCACCCTCAGCACATCATCCCATCACCCCTCATCACATCATCCCATCACCCCTCAGCACATCATCCCATCCTCACATCATCCCATCACCCCTCAGCACATCATCCCATCACCCCTCATCACATCAATCCCATCACCCCTCAGCACATCATCCCATCACCCCTCACATCATCCCATCACCCCTCATCACATCATCCATCACCCCTCAGCACATCATCCCATCACCCCTCAGCACATCATCCCATCACCCCTCATCACATCATCCCATCACCCCTCATCACATCATCCCATCACCCTCAGCACATCATCCCATCACCCTCAGCTCATCATCCCATCACCCCTCAGCACATCAACCCTCAGCACATCATCCCATCACCCCTCAGCACATCATCCCATCACCCCTCATCACATCATCCCATCACCCTCATCACATCATCCCATCACCCCTCAGCACATCATCCCATCACCCCTCAGCACATCATCCCATCACCCCTCAGCACATCATCCCATCACCCCTCAGCACATCATCCCATCACCCCTCACACATCAATCCCATCACCCCTCATCACATCATCCCATCACCCCTCAGCACATCATCCCATCACCCTCATCACATCATCCCATCACCCCTCATCACTCATCACATCCCATCAGCCCCCCCCTCAGCACATCACTCAGCTCATCCCATCACCCCTCAGCACATCATCCCATTCACCC